GTTTTAAATGTGTTTATTCTGAAAAAGGCATCGGCAGAGGAGAAACTAAGGGGGAATACATATTTTTAAAACAGATCATGAAAAATATTGACATTATTCAGCAATCTGTTGGGAATATGAGTGTTTTTTCAACATGCTTTAAAATTAACACACCAATAATCTCTCATTGCAGTCAGTTTTAGATATAATTTTAGAAATAATTTCATATAAAACAGGTCTTAAATATTATAACATGTTTTAATGAAAACCTACAATTTATCACTGAAATTTACATTTCATCTTTACATCCAAAAGTGTTTTTGATCAGAGAAAGAGGCACTGTTTAGAAACAGGCTCTGATTTGATTGATCAGTCTGGGAGCTCATCTCCAGGAGAGAAAAWCAGAAGCACAAACACATCATATACTGTCATGCCTGTTTTGGGGGGTTTCTYCTTTGTCACAATTTACATTTAACTGCTCTGCTTGTATAGTGTTTCCTCCAGTAACATTAGTAACTTTAGATGAAGAAATCTGTAAATACGGCTGTCAGAATAAACAAATGATAGGATATGCTCAGTTATTTGTCTCAGTACAGTTGTTTGGTCCTTTTGTCTTTTCTTGTTTTTGACTTTACAGCATTCTTAGACTGATGTGATTGAAATCTGTCAATGAGACAAAATTTGATAATTAAATTGTTGTTTTAACTTTCTTTGTCCCGCTCTCTCAGGAGAACCTTTTCATTCTGTTCAGACCTCCTGGACTCCTGATGACATAATTCAGCCCATTTCCCACATACAGCAGGTAAATATGCTGTGTTTGATTAGTGTAAATGTATTAATTCAAAGACAGAACAGTCACTGATCTGATTCTMTTTCTTCCCTTCAGGAGCACATTGAGATTCTGGTCCGATCCTGTTTGGTCAGTTGGGCTGAAATTAAAATTCGCCCTGGATAACATTCCTCTCATTCCTCTGCTCTCTTGCTTTTTTTGACTGGTACCCACAAAGCTGGACTAACGTGTGGCGTTCAAAGCAGTTCTCCCGCTGCCAAGGACCACACCGCAACCCAAAATGCAACAAAATGCAATCACAGCAGGTATATAATATATGCTGTTTTGTAGCTGCAGTTTTGCAACATGTATTATGGATTGATTCACTGTGAACAAAACCATCATGGGATCAAACGTGTCTCAGAAACTCTCAAAATCCATCTGAAATTGTAGTWTGACATTTTTCCCCACGTTGTTGTCTTTATACAATTTAAACGGATGGATTCAAGAAATAGCCAGCATTTTCACCACGTTTCACTTTATTGGAACAATTTTTTTTTATTTTATTTTTTCTATACTTGCGTCTCTCATTGGTGATATTCATCAAAGACAACCTGTAACTTCAGAGTCAGGAAGAGGCAACAACGGAGGCCATCGACATGAAACTGTGATCCCARTCAAAGACTGTTAGCCATATGCCTTCGTTAGCTCTATGTGCTCTGYGTTGCTCTTCTGTAAAACACACATTTATGTGTGATGGTTGCTGCTACTCACTTGACGTGTTCATGAAGAATAACTCGAAGGTGTTTACGTGTATGTAAATGCAGACAGAAAAACACGCACACGTGCGCCTGCGTGTAAAACGCCTCTTCTGTTCCCAAAGTGCACTCGTGATATTTCTGTGGGGCAGGAAAAAAAGCAGAATGTTCACAGGGGGAGGTTGTGTGTGCCAGGATTTATTCTGTGTTGTTGTGTGTCGTCTTCAACATGACTCATACAAACAGATTTTGAGGTGTGCTGTCTTTTTATTTATTTATTTTTTAGAGGAGCTGCTGATGGCTTTTCATTTTTGTTATCCATAGACTACAACTCACTCATTTCAGTAAAAAAAATAATAAAATAAAATCATGCCTGCTCTTGATTCATTCATATTACAAAAGCTCTTTAGGTTAAATATATTTAAYGARAAACATTTATTTTTGTCAACACCTTTYTCCAACCTTTTCAACTTGTGTTGCAGCGGTACTAAAAGTAAAAATAAAGAGTAATTCAAGATGGAGCACAATTTAAAGTGATACAAACACATTTAGTCAAAAAGGATTGATTTTATGTATTGTTAATTTTTGTTTACATAACTTTCAAGCCTGCATTTCAGGCTGATTTCATTTTATTTTGAGACAGAATCATGAACAATTTGATCAAATCTTAAAAATAACATTACAATTATTTTCATGCAATATTTAAAAATGTGTTAGCTCTCGTTCATGTYCTTTATTTTGAATGACCCTCAGCTCCTTCATCAAACTTTAGCTCAGTGTAAAATTGACTGATTTTATGGCCATGTCTACCTTAGTTTTCGTAAATAAGCTTTGGCTGCCAGCTTCAGTGAAGTTCTTTCCCAAAGGTAATAAGTTGTAGATGCACATCAATAGATTACTTTCTGAAAGCTTCACTAAAATCTATCCTGTGGTTCAGTGGACTGTTTGCTAACAGACAAACACTCACAGTTAATGCTAAATTTTTAAGGAAATGTGTTTCATAATGAATAGCACTTCAATTATGTGTTRTAAATGACCCTCAGGTACAGCCACAACAGTTTTCTGCATAATATCTGTAAAAGTGACCAAAACATATCTATTTTGGTGTTTTCTAAAATCTGTTGGCTGTAGCAGTCATACTGAATTCAAATGACTCCAAAAGTTAACCTGTTGTAACTGTATGTAAAGTAATTACCTGTTAAAAGTTTCATGAAAATCCACACAGTGGGTCGTGAGATATTTTGCTAACAGACAAACGGGGTTGACACCCAGAGTTAATGCTGAAGTTTTAAAGAAATATATATGACAATGAGTAGCACTTTGAAAACCTGTTGTGGATAACTCTCAGCTACTGCCACACCAATTTTCTGCACAATATCTGTGAAACTGACTTAATATTATCTAATTTAGATTTTTCCAAAATTAGTTGGCTGTAGCAACCATTTTGAAGTCATTTGACTTCAAATATTAATCTGTTGTAAATATTCATTTAAAGATTGTTTTTTAAATGTTTCATTAAATTCCACCCACTGGGTCATGAGATATTTTGCTAACAGACAGAATTGACTGAAAATTGATACTGGCAATTTTTTTTTGTGAATGCTTTGCACATTCTATGGGGTCATTCTCAGTTACTGCTAAACCAGCTTTAAGTTAATATCGGTAAAACCGACAAAGGTGTAGACATTTATGTGTTTTTAAGCTCAACTGGCTTTGATTTCCASCTCGMCTCCAGGTGTTAAATAGCTRTAGATGCACATCTGATGATTGCATTCTGCAAGTTTACTTAGTATAAGTTCAGCAATTTATGAGATATTTTAGTCAAAGACAGACACACGCACACAAACGCAAAGACACGAGCAAMAAGATTATCACCGCTTTTCACCATTTTTCTGTGAGTTACGAGCATCCCTTTGCATTAGTATTTGAATACGAAGCTTGAAAAATCACTCTGAACATCTTTTAGAAAACAAAATGACCTAGATTGCAGCTTTTTATCTACAAACAAGACAACTTTCTGTCTCAGATTGACCAGAGGGCCAAGCACCTACAGTAGAAACATCAATGAAGTAAAAATCAAACATTCAAAGCCACTGAGTCTTGTGAAAAATATGAGAACCACAACAGTGCAGGCAGCAGGGATGTATTTTAGACCTGGAAAARAGACAGTGATTTCCTGCTGCCTTGGCTGCATGTTTGGCCTGCAGAGAGAGCTGAACTGAGAAGAAGAACAATGGAAAACATTCGTATCATCTTTGTGCCAAAGAAATAAATATTAACATTCTAGCAGAGGTTTACAGCAATCTGACTGTCACGCTGTGTATGAGCAAGTATGCTTTATTGCTTCAGTGAGCGCATCACTTCACTGATGACTCCACCATCTTTCCTGGCTATAGTGTGTGTCCAGAATAAACCACTTTTCTTCAGGAAAAACCTGTTGGAATAATTGTGTTATCAAGAYAACAGTCTTTTCTCACTTATAACCTGTTAGAATTCCTTTTTAGAGGCATTTCTTAGTTTCTTATAATTGTTTTAGTACAGTATATTGATGAAGCGTGAATACAATGTAGGTATCCTGCATCACCGCCAGCCGTGTTGCTACAGCAAGAAGTCTCCATGGTAACAAGGAAGAACGGCTGGCAGGACGAAGAGAATGGCAGCTTCAGCCCTGCAGGTGGACAAGAGAAATCACAACTGCCTCCGTCTKAATTGTCACCAAATGCTACACCATTTACTGTCAGCGTACGCAGCTTCTGAGAACAGCTGGGAGGAGTCAGAGTGTCACATACAGTATACCAGTCAAGCTCTGAGAACTGTGGGCGCACGCCTCTGGTCGAGGATCAGAAAAGTGTCCACATGGAGGTRAGACGTCACCACACAGGGACTCTGTTTGGAATGGAGTTTAGAGACGACTCAAGACATCACCAACACCATAAACCTACAACCAGTAACATGCATCTGAGCAAGCATTTCCACCTTAGGATGTTCAAATATCTCCTGAAATCATTGTAAAAACAAACAGTCAAGTTTTGGACATTAGAGTTTATCACACATGAAAGAGTCATAGTATAAACCTACTTCATTTACTTAAATTCCCTCAGGAATCAATAAAGTATTTTTGATTTGTACGGAGYCCGCGAGGGGACATGGGGGCATTTTTTTCTTTTGCGTTCCCACGCAATACTTTTGCACTACCTCTCAATATTATTGTGTTACCTCACATTATCTTTGCGTTACCTTGCAATACTTTTGCGTTAGCTCGCAAACCTTTTTTCGTTAACTCGCAAAATTGTTTTGCATTCCCACGCAAAAGTTTGTTTTGAATATGAATTGAATGAAATCAGACTTTTATTTGAAATACCCGGTTACCAAAACAGGATGTGCCGCCACAAGTTTGTGAAATTGACATTGATGTTGCGTGGCTGCATTGTGTTAAAATATCGGCATATGACATACTTCCATGYGTGGCTGTGTGATATATTCATTCTGAAGCTGAATTATAGCAGTAGGCTAACTTGCTAATGGTGAACATGTGAGTTTGTTAATAAACCGGCAGGCACAACAGAATGACTTTTGCAAGGAAACGCAAAAGGTATTGCGAGATAACGCAATAGTACTGTGTCGGAACGCAAAAGAAAAAAATCTCCCATGTCCCCTCGCGGGCTCCGTAGATTTGAATTGAATTGAATAAAATCATTTTCTAGCACTGTGTTCGTGGCATTCTGGTAAAGATACTGTTTTAATAACTTCAGATGGTATCAGTCTGCTCTTTACCTGTTTTGTGCTCAACTAGAAAACAAAACTTTTGACAAAATCAAAACTGATTGCTGTGTGACAAAAGCCAACACTGAACAGCTCAGTTCACCCTTTAAAGGAGACATGCTATGCTTTAAAATCCTTCTTTTTCACATTTAAATTGTTCAGTCRTGGCCGATAGAAAGYGGAACTGCAATGCTTTGATCTGAATTTCTCCTTCCCCACAGTTTACACTGGATGTGGTTCCGCTGCACGGCGCAGTTCACCGCCATCTGGCTCTATCCCTTCTGCTCTGGTGTGACACACAGAGGTGCTCTGAGGAGCATGTGCAGGAAATGCGAGATTGTGCAATAAACCCAGTGATAGATGKGGAAGTCWGACMAAATTAATTTATTGTGTGAAAGACTAGAGACTAGAAACAACAGCATTATAATGCAACCCTAACCGTACCATAGGCCTCCTCTGGACCAATGTTCACATTTTTTCACGATTCGTGGGTACTGAACATAACCCCATCAATACTGGGGCGTCACTGTAGTTCTTTGCGGAATCATTACAGCAGGTGATCAAAACAAACAAACAAACAAACAAACAAAAAAACAAGTAGTCCTCTGGATGGGTTCTTCTTTGTCTCTTCGCCAAGAGACTTCTTCAGTCTGGACTTCCACATGGTCAACATGTTTTTTTTTCACCATGTGCTGCTTATAAGGCTGGGTTTACTTGTAACTCCTCAAACTGAAAAAGTCTCTTGTAAAATTCAACCTGGAAAGACTCACACGAACACAAAACGTGAAATTAAAATGGATTTATTGCCAAGATTGAACAGATTGATATGAATGACAGTTTTTGCGCTCGGATCCCAGATGAGAACGTGAGCGCTGTGAGAGGKTGAAAGCTCGGACGAGCTGATTAGGTTAGGGGTAGGAGTTTTCTTCCATCCTCAGGATACTTCAAGTAATCTTCTGCAACTCAAACATCCACTGCCAATGCCTCCATGCCACAAACTGCAGAACCTACATCCAGAAAAGTCAGGGGCTGAGACCTAAGTATTGTTCACTGCACAGAGTATTGATTTCAAACTATATTCAGTTATTTTTACTAAATATCTTTGAAAACTCAGAAATAAACATTCTCTTTTCATAAAAAGGTGCCGTGACTTGTATTTAGTGTTAATGAATGTCAATGAAAGACAAAAAATTATCTGACTTTAGATTCATTATGACAGGACATTTATCTGTTCTTGGAAAGCATGCAGTTCTTTGGGTGACGTCCTGTGTGGTATTTCCATGCTCAACAACCATTGGCAGCATCAACAAAGATGGTTACTAAGGATGATAATGCTGTTGCCAGTGTGCTTTCACATAAATCAGATTATTTGTGGGAGCTGATTGGCTGATCAGTACCAGGCATGGCAGACTAGACAGACAGTGAGTGCAAACCAACATCGCAGAACTGCACCACTACTACAGATACACACAGATCAAACTATTTATATTTATATCTGAAGTCATATCGAGTATTCTTTTTTTTATCAGTTGTGGGAACTGTGATCTGCTGCCCGTCATCTCAGTTTTTGCTGTCACAACAAACAAACAGATGGTGAAGAGGCTG